ATACATTCAACAGTAAAGATAAGTTTAAAAAGAAAAAATACTAATGGCATATTTCACAGAACTAGAAGAAATAATTCAAAAATTTATATAAACTACAAAAGACCCCGAATAATCACAGCAATCTTGAGAAAGAAGAACAAAGTTGGAGAAATCATGCTACTTGATATCAAACTATTCTACAAGGCCATGTGCTGGCCTGGTACTGGCATAAAAACAGACAAGTAGCTCCGTGGAACAGAAGAGAGAGCCCAGAAATCAACTGATGCCTTTATGGTCAATTGATAGTTGACGAAGGAGGCAAGAACATACAATAGGGCAACGAAAGTCTATTCAATAAATGGTGTTGGGAAACTTGGACATATACATATGAAAAATGAAATTAGGCCACCTTCTTACACCATATACAAGAATAAACTAAAAATAGATTAAAGACAAATATAACACTTGAAACCATAAAAGTTTTAGAAAAAAACATAGGCAGCAAAATTTCTGACATATCTCTTAGCAATATTTTTCTGCTATATCTCCTCAGGCAAGAGAAACAAAAGAAAAAAAAAATAAACAAATGAAACTAAAAAGTTTTTGCACAGCAAAGGAAACCATCAACAAAACAAACAAACAAAAAACCCTGAATGGGAGAAGATATTTGCCAATGATACATTTGATAAGGGGTTAATATCCAAAATTTATAAAGAACTCAGACAACTCAACACCAAAAACAAAACAAACAAAACAATCCAATGAAAAAATGAGCAAAGGGCCTGAACAGACACTTCTCCAAAGAGGACATACAGACGGCCAATAGCCATATGAAAAAATGCACAACGTCACAAATTGTCAGAGAGATGCAGATTAAAACTACAATGAGGTATCACCTCACACTTGTCAGAATGACTATCATCAATAAATCAATAAACAACAAATGCTAGCAAGGACGTGGGAAAAAGAAACCCTTGTACACTGTTGGTGGGAATGCAGATTGGTGCAAGCACTGTAGAAAACAGTATAGAGGGTCCTCAAAAAATAAAAAATGGAACCACTTTATGACTTAGTGATTCCGCTTCTGGGTATATATTCAAAAAACTCAAAACACTAACCCGAAAGAACATACGCACCCCTATTTCATGGCAGTGCTATTCACAATAGCCAAGATCTAGAAGCAGCCCAAGTGCCCATCAGTAAATTAGTGGATAGAAAAGCTGTGGTACAGATATACAATTAAATATTACTCAGCCATCAAAAAGAATGAGTCTTACCATTTGCCACAGCATGGATGGATCTAGACGTAAGATTCCAGAGGGTTTTACACTAAGTAAAATAAATCAGTCAAAGAAAGACAAACACCATATGATTTCATTACGTGTAGAATCTAAAGAACAAAATCAATGAGCAAACAAAATTGAAACAGACTCATAGATACAGAGAACAGACTAATGGTTGCCAGAGGGGAGGGGCTGAGGGACTGGGTGAAATGGGCGAAGGGACTAAGAAGTACAAATTGGTAGCTGCAAAACAGCCGTGGGGATGTGAAGTACAACATAGGGAATGCAGTCAGTAATACAGTATAACTATGTATGGTGCCAGGTGGGTACTGAAAATATTGGGGGGAACACTGTAAAGTATATGATTGTCTAACCACTATGCTGTACACCTGAAACTAGTACAAATGCTAAAATAATACTGAATATAAACTGTAGTTGAAAAATTAAAAATAAATAAATGAAAACAAGCCTGCACATGCTCCTTCCAGCCCCAGCCCTCAGGACACACCTGGACTCAGAACGGGTCAGAGAGGAGTGATCAAGAAGGTCCCCACCGTTTCCTCCCCTGTGCCTGCAATTCGGCCATGAGCTTTATCCCTCTGGGCTGAAGCTGTCACAGGAGACAGTGTAGTCTGGTGATTAGGTACAGGGGCTCTGGATTCTGTTATACCTGGATCTTCAATCCTGGTTTGACCTCAAGCAAATTACTTAGCTTTTCTGGGCCTTGGTTTCCTTATTATTATTATTTTTTAAATAATTTTTCTTAATGATTTGAGAGAGAGAGATAGAAACATCGATGAGAGGGAACACCGATTGGCCACCTCCTGCATGCCCCCCACTGGGGATTGGGTCCACAACCTGGGCATGTGCCCTGACTGGGAATCGAACCGGCGACCTCTTGGTGCATGGGTCAATGCTCAACCACTGAGCCACACTAGCCAGGCAAATTTCCTTATTTTTTTAAAGTCAATTTTTTAGAGCAGTTTTAAGTTCACAGCAAAATTGAGAGGAAGGTACAGAGAATTCCCATATCACCCCTGGACCCCACATGTGCACAGCCACCCCCACTGCCAACACCCCACCAGAGCAGAGCATTCAGTACAATCGATGAACCTATATGGACACATTATCACCCAAGGTTCAGAGTTTACATCAGGGTTCATGCTCAGTGTTGTATATTCTGTGTGTTTGGAAAAATGCATAATGACATGTTTCTGCCATTATAATATCATACAAACTACTTTCAGTGCCCTAAAAACCCTCTGTGCTCTGCCTGTTCATCCCTTCCCCCCCAACACCTGGCAACCACTGATCTTCTAACTGTCTCCATAGTTTTGTCTTTTCCAGAACGTCATGTAGTTGGAGTCATGCAGTAAGTAGCTTTTTCATACTGGCTTCTTCCACTTAGTCATATGCATTTAATGTTTCTCCATGTCTTTTCAGGATTGATAGCTCATTTCTTTTTATCACTGAATAATATTCTATTGTCTGGATGTATCACAGTTTATTACCTTTTGTTTTTTCTTTTTTAAATGCCCAGCCGGTGTGGCTCAGTGGTTGAGCATCGACCCATGCACCAAGAGGTCACCAGCTCTATTCCTGGTCAGGGTACATGCCCAGGGTGTGGGCCCAGTCTCCAGTGGGGGGCATGAAGGAGGCAGCCAACCAATGTTTCCTCTCATCGATGTTTCTATCTCTCTCTCCCTCTCCTTTCCATTCTCTCTTAAAAAATTAATAAAGAGCCCTGGCCAGTTTGGCTCAGCGGTTAGAGCGTCGGCCTGCGGTCCGGAGAGACCTGGGTTCGGTTCCCGCTAAGGGCATGTACTTCGGTTGCAGTCTGTCCCCGGCCCTGGTTGGCCCTGCGGGTGGCAGCCACTCGATGTGTCCCTTCACGTCGATGTTTCTCACTCTCTCTCCCTTCCTCTCTCTCCCTCCCACTCTATCTGTACAAAAAATGGAAAAATATCTTCGGGTGAGGATAAAAAAAAAAAAATTAATAAAGAAAAAAATTTTTAGCCCTGGCCGGTTTGGCTCAGCGGTTAGAGCGTCCGCCTGTGGTCTGGAGAGACCCGGGTTCGGTTCCCGCTAAGGGCATGTACCTCGGTTGCAGTTTGTCCCCAGCCCTGGTTGGTCGTGTGGGTGGCAGCCACTCGATGTGTCCCTTTCACATCGATGTTTCCCTCTCTCTCTCTTCCTCTCTCTCCCTCCCACTCTGTCTGTACAAAAAGTGGAAAAATGTCCTCAGAAGAGAATAAAAAAAAAAAAAAATTTAAAAAAAGAAACAAACAACTATTTTTCACTTAAAAAAAAAATTTAGAGAGAGGAAGGGATGGGGTGGGGAGAGATATTGATGTGAGAGAGAAACATCGATCAGAATCGAACCTGCCACCTTTTGGTGTATGGGACGATGCTCCAACCAACTGAGCCACACCGGCCAGGGCTATTGCCTTATTTTAAAAAATAGAATTAACTACAGATATCCTCACACACAGGGCAACTGCACACAGTTATTCAGAGACTGACAACAGCAAACAATGTAAATGTCCCTGGGCCTGGCTGAGTGAACTGCCACCCACCCACACCCTGGGACACTACGCAGCTGAGCAAAAGGGAGACACCCTTCGTGTGACAGGCGACACGCAGAAGTCTCCGAACCAGGAGTTAGAACACAGCAAAGTGCAGAACAGCGTGTGTGAACACGTGTCGCTGTTCACGCGAAGCAGAAGGAAGCGGCAGTAAACGCAGCATTGGTTTGTGGACCCGGAGATCACCTCTGGGAGGCCTCCCAAGAAGCCCTGGCTTCTCAGCTTAGCTTTTTGCTTTCTTCTTTTTTAAAGATTGTTTAGTTGGGATTTTGGAATGTGTATTATCTATATTTTTAAAGTAATAAAATTATTCATTTTAAAAAGATTTAAAAAAACCTGAAAATGCAGGGGATAATAAAGTCCCTTCATCACAGGGCTGTTATGAGGATCTGATGGGATGCTGCAGGGCCCAATCCGCGGTGACCGCTGTGGCCATCTCTGGATGGGGACATGGCAGTCTAGACCCAGCTGAGCTGACAGTGCAGACCCTTCCTACTCAAAGTGTGGCCTGTGGGCCTGCGGCATCAGCACTGCCCAGGTTGGCTAGAAATCAATCTCAGGCCTTGCTCCTACTAAATCTGAGCCCTCTCTCTCTTTTTTTTTAATCCTCACCCAAGGACATTTTTGCATTTATCCTGAGATAGAGTGGGAGGGAGAGAGAAAGAGAGAGAGAGGGAAACATCGAAGTGAGAGAGAGACATACATCGAATGGTTGCCACCCACATAACCCCAACCAGACCGAGGACAAACTGCAACCCAGGTACGTGCCTTTAGCGGGAACCAAAACCGGGTCTCTCTGGGCCGCGAAGGACGCTCTAACCGCTGAGCCAAACCGGCCAGGGCAAAGCCCTCATTTTAACAAGACCCTCAGGGGACTCGGGCACGTGTTCGAGTTTTGGAAGCACTGATATAGAGGTAGGGAAACCCAAGTGAAGCCAGGCTGGAGTGGGCGCCCCAGAGGCCTGTGGGGGCTGGGAGGGGACCGGGACAGGAAGGCTGGGCGCCCAGATGGGCAGCTCTAATCCCCAGCTCTTCCGTGTCCACATTGGCTTGGATCCTGCCAGGCCTGGGTTCTGGGTCGCCCCTCCTGCTACCCCCTTTCCTTGGGCCCACCCTCGGGGTGAAGCCTGGCAGTGGCAGGGGCGCCTCTCACCTTCATCCCCGCCACGTCGATGCGGGTCCTCACCTGGAAGTGGGCGCCCACCTGGATGACCCTGGGCACACAGTAGAGCAGCATGTTGTTGAACTGCAGGAGACACAACAGGGCGTGTGTGCAGAGCCGGGGCGGGGGCGCCAGGCAGGCTTCCCTGAGCGCCCGGCGCCGGGGTCTCCTTCCCCTCTCGCCACACTCTGGGCCAGCTCCCGGATGTCACAGTTGTGAGGCCCCTAACCCAACTAGGATGCCACTGCAGGGTTGCCCTACCTGTCGCTCCCCCCGCCCCCGACCACCGGGCACGACCAGTTTCCAGATCTCCAGGAGATCCTTGGCGTCTTCGGTGCAAACCCAGGCAGTTCTTCCTAGTAGTTAACCTAAGTCCCCCCTGCTGTGCACTCCTAGAGCACAGATACTACCACAGGCTTTGGAGCCCAACGGACTGGGTTCAAGTGCTGACTCTGCTTCCTAGGGCGCGTCTGGGAACCCCCTCACTGGGAAATCCCTGAGGCCTGGAGCCAGCCCTCGTCCAAAGTCAGCCGGTGCCAATGTAGAGGAGGACAGAGGCAGGCTCTCCCTGTTCCTGCAGCAGCACTGGGTAGACCCCGCAGCCAGGACCCGGGCCGTGCGGCCCCTGACTTCCCCCGGGCGGGGAGCCCACACCCCTACCAAGAACAGGTAGCGCTCCACCGGGTCTTTGCGGCGGAAGGAGATCTTGAGGACCGGGCCCTCGCGGAGCAGGGTGTTGGAGGGGTCCACTATGTCGTCTTCAAGGCCCAGGCGCTGGTACACTTCCCACAGTTCCTGCAGCCGCTCCTGGGGACAGAGGTGTGACCTCAGCCCAGGCCGGCAGGGCCCACCTCCTTCTGGAAGGTTTGCCTTGTGTGGACAGGGACAGGTGTGAGGGGGTGGGGGCCTCAGTGGGGCCGGTGGTAGGGATTGGGGATGAGCGATGCAGACACCTGGGTGGGCAGGGAGGAGGTGACAGGGCCCCCAGGGACCCCTGCTTCCTCCCCTGGGGTGCGCCGCTCACCATCTCCGTGATGGCTGCGTTGGAGTGTTGTGCGGCTGAGAAGATCAAGTCAAGGGCTTCTGCGGGGGGAGGGCAGAGCCAACGTTATCCCCCAAACCCTGGGGCTGGTGGCTGAGGCAGGAGGTCCTTGAGGCTTGACAAGGGTCCCCTGGAGCAGCCTGCCCTGCCTGTGCAGCCCAGCATATGAGGTGTCGAGGTGATGGGGCCACTTCCCACGCAGATGGAGACGAAGCCACGGAAAGACAGCGCTTAGGTGGTCGGCTCCGTGTCTCTCACTGGTCCCCAAACCAAGCCAGAGGGTGCAGTGGAAAGGCATTTGGTCTCCCACAGGCATGGCTTTAAATCCTAACTCTGCTCCCTTCTGGCTGTGTGACATTGAGCGAGTCACTTAACCTCTCTGGGACTTAGTGTCCTTGTCTGTAAAAAATGGCTAATGGTATAGGTAATGTCTACCAGGTACCAGTGATTGAAGTCGATGGCAGATACTCATTATAAGCATTTCAGCAAGTGCTCAGTAGATATCTGGGAACAGCTCAGGCCTCCCCAGCCCCCTGGGTCCCCAGAGGGTGTCCTCACTCTGGGCATCAGCCCGGTCTGGGGCCTGGGCTGGCAGCTTCTGGACGTATTCCTTGAGCAGCAGCTCATAGCGTGGGATTCTCTGCACGGGCTCCAGCATGTGGTGCTGCAGGGTCAGGCTGCCCGAGGCCTCGCTGCTCTTGGGGAGCAATAGGGGAGGAATAGTGTGGGGTGAGAGCGGGGAGGGGTGGGGGAATTCATGGAAGCACTGAGCGTGAGCGATGCCCCAAATTGCTGGGGAAACGGAGCCACTGCACATGGGGGTGGCAGTGCAGGCTCTGCCCCGCCCCCACCCCAGTCTCACCTGAATTCGAGTGAGAACCTCCTGGAAGGGGGGAGACTTCTCAGTCCAGGTGGCCAGCAGCTCAGCAGCTCGCTCGAAGTTCTTGACATACTCACTGTACATCTTCAGGAAGGGGGCCAGTTTCTGGATCACATCACCGATGCGGGGGGTGGCTGTCCTGCAGGGGGCACACAGATATTGCCCTTGGTCTGAGGACCTCCTCTCTTGATTCCAGGCAGGGTAGGGTTAGGCCAGACTTCCTGAACCCCACAAAACAGTCTTTCCGCTGCACTTCTGGGTGCGGTCAAGGGGCATGTCATCCTCCATACATGTGGGAGAGTGGATGCTGGTCTCTCCCACGGACCGGACTCCCCCAAAGGCCCAGCACCTTGCTGGCCCAGGTCGGGTGATCAGTAACCACTGGATACCTGTTCGTGTAACAATAACGAGGGCCACATGCCAAGCTCTGCCCATCTCATCTCATCTCATTCAGTTCTCACAGCCCTGCAGTGGAACAGTCCTTGGCCCATCTTAGAGATGAGGAAACTGAGACTCAAGGGGGAAGGACTCGTCCAGGATCGCCCCGTGGAAGGGCCAGAGGCCGTTCAGCCCACGGACTGTGAGACAGAGCCGTGAGGAGCTGGCGCATCTGCGTTTGGCTCCTAGCTGACTCTCCCTCCAGCTGAGTGCTCACGGGCAAGTCAGCTAGCCTCACTGTGGTCCCATTTCCCTTCTGGAAAAGTGAAAATGATGGGAGGTGACCTCATAGGGTTGACTTTTAAAATACATACAAAGTATATTCATTATTATATTCTTTTTACTTTATATGTATTTTAAAACTGGATTTAACAGTTACTAACATTCTTCTTTGCTGAAGAAGTTTATTTATTTTCTTTTTTAAAGTGTTTTTATTGATTTTTTTTCAAGAGAGAGGAAGGGAGAGATAGATAGAAATATTGATGTGAGAGAGAAACATCTATCGGCTGCCTCCTGCACGCCCCCTACTGGGGATCAAGCCTGCAACCCAGGCATGTGCCCTGACTGGGAATCGAACCCAGACCTCTCAGTCCATGGAATGACACTCAGTCCACTGAGCTACACTGGCCAGGCAGCTGAAGAATTTTGAAGGACATCCCAGACATCATGGCATTTCTTTAGCAAAATACATAAAGCAAGTAATTTTACCACTAAATACTTTAGTGGTCAATTCTGGAAACAAAGAGGGTTTCTTGCAGCACCACAATGCGACCATCACACAGGGGGCTGATCTGAAGATTAAATGAGGTAATAGGTATAAAGCCCAAGGCCGGGCATGTAGGAGCCTCATTGGTACTGCCTCCTAAGTGAGCCAGCCTAGTGAGGACCTGATCCATCCCCTTCCCGGGACTCACACACACACTCACACACAGCCTCCCAGGGCTCATTCAGCCAAGCCCCTTGCTGTGCAGACAGTGAGCCCAGAGCAGGAGACTGTCATGGCCACACAGCAAGTGCCTGGAGGCTGCACCCAGACCCAGGGCTGCGGTCAGGGGACTTGGGCTCCTGGTGGACCTCACCAGTCGTCCAGCCGCCGCTGCAGCTCTGGGAGGAAGAACTGTGCGTGGAACTGGTAGATGGAGGAGATGTTGGAGAAGATGAGCCTGACCACATCCTCGGGGAAGGCTTTGCTGCTGCGGGCCTCCTCCAGCAGCTCCTGGAAGAACACCTGCAGCCGCCACAGGGTCACTGGGCCTGCGGCAGAGAGGGAGCCACCCGCGGCAGCACAGGGGGAGGAAAGCACAGCCCCAGGCCCAGCTCCCAGCTTACTGAATGCTCTCACCTCCCTACTCTCCCCGCATCCTCATAACAAGCCCAGAAGACGTAGGCGGGGAAGACTGTACTCTGGCCACTTTACAGATGGGCAGATCCTGACCTAGAAATTCAGGGACTTGCCCAAAGGCTGGCCTCTGACGAATGTCAAACAGGCCAGTCCCCGTCTGTCAGGGTCAGACTTCGCCAGGTCCCTCTGCCGATGTACAATGATTGAACCCTCTAGCCTTGGGGCCCTTTAAGAAAGCGTGAAGGGGTGATAAAGGCGAGGATGTTTGCATTGGGACAACAGATGAGGATGCTATTTGGGACCCGGAAGGATCAGCTGGTGTGTATTCGGCTCAGGGGAGGCGCCAGGCACCAAGGTTGGAGTGGGGCGTGGCACGGATGGGCTATTCCCGATGTCTGCCCCACCTCTAGCCGGCAGGGCCAGAGGACTCAGGTTCCCTAGAATCAAATCAAGGGGTCCTACTCTCAGCTCTGGTGAGGTGAGTCGGGAGGGAGAGCAAGGGTGGGTGAGGAGAGCCGGGTGCTGGGGCGCAGGTGTGGGTGTCCCAGCCACTGGCCTGGTCTAGCAGGTGGAGGCGTGCCACGTAGGCCTGCTCCGTCTGCAGCAGCTCCCGGACGATCCTCTTCTCCTCGGGCTCCTGCAGGAGGTTTGGGGGAGGAGGAGAGGGATGGATTTGGTCTTCTCTGATGGGGACCTGGGGCATTGTCTTCAAAGATGCCCCAGTGAAACGCACCTCCCAGCATCCATGCCCTCCCACAGTGCATCTGGGCTGGTGCTGGGGTCACTGTAACTGAGCGAATGGGGCAGCAGTGAGGCTGCACCAGGTGTGGACCAAAGCCACAAGTGCCCTGAAGCGCCTGCCTGTGCTGCCTGGGAGCCTTGAACCACCATATCTGGAGGCCTGGTGGAGAGACCTTCGTGGAGAGGAGAAGCCCTGAGACTCCTGCCGCGGGTGGCTCCCACGGAGGGAGAGCCAGGGGCCGGGCCGGGATGCGTCCCAGCCGAGCCCAGCCTCCGCTGTCCCCGGCCAGGCACTAGGCTGCAGAGTTGAGCTCTTTGGGCATGCTAGCTCAGCCACCATCTGACTTCAGCCACACGAGAGACTGTGATTGTGTCCCCCCAGATTTATATATTGATGCCCTGATCTCTAATGCGACTGTGTTTAGAGGTAAGGTCCTTAAGGAAGTAGTTAAGGGTAATTGAAGTCATAAGGGTGGGGCCCTAACCCATTAGTGTTTTGATAGGAAGAGGAAGAGCCACCGGGAAAGCAGTGCCCAGAGGAAGGGCCATGTGGGGACATGGCGAGAAGACAGCCATTTGCAAGCCAAGGAATAAGGCTTCACCAGAAACCAACCCTACCAGCACCTTGACCTTGGCCTCCCAGGCTCCTGAGCTGAGAGATAATAAATGTCTGTTGTTCAGTCACCCAGGCAGTGGCGTTTGTTACGGCAGCCCTAGCTGACCAGGTCAAACCCCAGTGAGACCAGTGAAGGACCATCCAATGGTATTCTAGTCAACCCACACAACTGTAAGAAATAATAAATTGTATTTGGCAACAGCATTTTGGGGTGGTTTGTTAGGTAGCAATTAATAATTAGAATATACTATTATGATCATCATCTCCATTTTGCAAGTGAGGAAAATGAGGTCCAAAGCGTTTCAAGGGACTTGCCCAAGGTCGCACAGTTAGTAAGCAGGAGAGCTGGGACGTGACTCTCGAGAGTCTGGCTCCAGGTCCGAGTCTCCTGCGGCCTAGCCTTTCAACTGCACGGACGGGGACACTGAAACCCAGAGAAAGGAGGTGACCTTCCCAGGATCAATCTAAGGCAGGAATTAGCACTGGCCTCTATTTCTAGTAGGGATTGTTGCCTCCCTCAGTGGGTAAACTGAGGCCACACCTGGGGAGGGTATCTAGTTTACAGGATGGAGACTGTTCAAGCTGTGTGGCCTTGGACAAGCTCGTCCCAAGACTCCTCGACTGGGTGACGTGAAAGAACAGCGGCACTGCCCTGGCCGGTTTGGCTCAGCGGTTAGAGCGTCGGCCTGCGGTCTGGAGAGACCGGGTTCGGTTCCCGCCACGCCACGGGCATGTACCTCGGTTGCAGTGTGTCCCCGGCCCTGATTGGGTCGTGTGGGTGGCAACCACTCGATGTGTCCCTTTCTTGTCGATGTTTCTCTCTCTCTTTCTCCCTCCCACTCTATCTGAACAAAATATCAAAAAATGCCCTTGGGTGAGAATAAAAAAAGAAAAAAAAAGAATACCGGCAGTGGGGTGCACACTAGAATCTTCATCGAAAGCCTTTAACGGGGAGGATTTAGCTTCCAGCTGGGGACATGCCGGCGCGGGCTGGGAGAGAGTGTGTGGGGAGGAGGTCAGTGGAAGGGCCCCACTCCCCATTCTACCCCAGCCCTCAGGCACCTGTGTTCCTGGCTCAGGGCAGGTCGTGGGCTGGCAAGATTTCCTCCAGGTCCCACTGGACAGCTTGTTCTTCAGGGAGCTCAGGTACCTCCTGCTGACCGTCCTGGGACCGGACCCCAGTGCCTCGTCCACGCTGGGTTTCTCCCACGGTTCTGCAGCGGGGGGCGACCTGCACCCAGGGAGCTGGTGTGCCGCGGCCAGCCTGTGGGCCCCGGGCGCTGCTCCTGGCGTCCTGAGAAGAGAGCACACCTGAGCGTCTCCTGTCTGTGGAGTGGGGAGAATTGCACCTCCTTGGTGGGGATTTGGGGGTGATTAATACAAATCACAGGGGTGCAGTGGCCCTCGAGTACTTGGCCCTCAGGAGTTTACTAAGTAAAACATCCACTTCCCTCCCACACTTCCTTAGGGAAGCGCGAGTCTTCAAAATGAGTCAGAGCGGACTGCATGCTTCCCTGTTGAAAATGCAGTGAGGAGGCATCTCCCCCAGCGTGTGCAGAAGTGATGTCGGGAGCTGACACAGCGCTCCTGCAACCACGTGCAAGCTGGCCCAAGAGTCAGCAGTCAGTACGCTGAGGGGGTCTGCTCAAGAGGTGATGTAGGACCGTGAGCTCTCCCCTTCAGACCAAACCTACACACATCTAGACAACATTCCCACAGGTGCACATGGAACAACTTCCTCCGGAAAAACCTAAAAATTAGCTGCTGACACCTAGACGCCTTCGAATTAGGCAAACGAGAGAAGGCCCACATTAAGCAGGCAGGAGAGACTGAGACAGTCTCACCACAAACCCACTCCCAGGGCGGCCGACAGTCCGGAGGAAACTGACTCAGAGCAACTCCTTGAGGAGCAAAGATTTGAACCCCACATCTGGCTCCCCCAACTTTTAAGATCTGCACCTGAGGGACAAGGCTCTCCCCAAGAATGCAACCAGGAACCCCTCCTGCACACAGAGGTTTTTGAGTGCCCAAACCCCCTGCTGCCAATCACCCTCTCCACATACCACACCCCTATTTTTAGTTTCTGCAGTAGGAAGAGCCTTAGAATCCTAGTAACTGATACATCGAGGGAAGGTGGGAGCCATAGAACACTGTAAAGGAAGGGTGGAGCTGCTAAAGCTGGGGCTCTTCAGTGGGAGCTATGCCTCCAGCAGGGGGCAGGGGAGAAAGCCAGTCTGGGAGCAGTTTCCCTGTGCCCCCAGAGGTGGGCCATTGTAGGGCAGCTTTGTCCCCTGCCTACTGGGTCTGCAGCCCAGTTAAATTCTTTAGATAACAGGCCACCCTCACTGAGTATATCCAGTGAGTGGGGCTGTAGCCCATTCCCTGCTGTGGAAGACCTGCAATGACAGCCCAGATAGGCATCATTATGAGAGAGACAGGCTGGGAAGTGGACAACCAGGCATGTACAAAATCTCCAGCACTCTGTGCGAGCTTTTCAGCTAAGCAAACTGGGGTACAGAGAGGATAAGTCACTTTCAGCTCGGGGGTGGCAGAGGTTGGCTTCTGAGTCTTCATCCCAAACTACCCCTCCGTATTTGAGTCAAGGAGAAATAGGTCCAGAGAGTCAGTTCGATCTGCCCCAAGTCACACAGCTGATTCGTGGCAGAGAGGGGACTGGGACCCAGTCCCTGGTGGCCCCTCACAGCTCTTCCAGCCCTCTGGTGCCCCAGTGCCCAGTTCCTCAGCCCACAGGCCTGCAGCTCCTGGAAGTAGCCAGGCCTCAGGCTTTCTGTTCTACATGTAGTTTCAGCTTCTGCATTTCTCTCCAAGTGCCCCAGGCTAGCTTCTGTTTCCTCTTCACCCTCAGTTTCAGATCAGCTAAAGCACTGGAAGACTGCACAAGAAAGCCAAGGCCCAAGCAGCTGGCATGGGGCCACCTCACACAATAAGGGGTAACTTGTACCCTCCTGACCGGGCCTCCTCTGACCAAATGCTGGTCTGAGGGCTGCCTCCTCCTGCTAGGGGTGTTGCCGGGCAGAACACACATGCTGAAGGTCTCCACTGGGCGCGCCTGGAGCGCTGGATGGGGCGATGCCATCTCTGGAGCCATCTCCCCACACCCAAGGGGTGGGGGGCCAGGAAGGTAGCTTCTAGAGCTGTCCTCGGTGCTGAAAAGAATGTGCTTGGTCAAAGACCCTGGGAGAGGCAGGGCGAGGTCACCAGGCTCAGGAGGAACTGCCCTCAAGGTCTACATCTGTGCCACTTCTGCCGGGAAGCCCATAGGAGGCTCTGTCCGCTGGGTGCCCTCAGCATAGCATCTGGGTCCCTCCCAGGGTATCGATTGTCCATGAGCTGGCCTCATGCTAATTCCACGAGCTTGGCATCCGACGATAGAAGTCTCTGGGCAGCAATCACCCTTTAGGCTTCTGTGTCTGCGAGCCCCTGTGCGATGCTGTGCTGTGCCACCCACAGCCCCCCAGGATGGAGGCACCCTTCCCGCAGCTGCTGGTAGTAAGGCGGCTGAGGGGTTGTTGTCTGAGTTCCTTTCTGGGAACTGCCCCCCTCAAGCCAGCTGCCTCACCCAAGGTCAAGTCCACATCCAGGGATTAGTCTGTGTGGGGTAAACAACCCAACTCTTTGCCTCAGTCGGAACGACCTGAGAGGCACCCTAGTTCAGACCCCCCGGGACAGGCCGGGGCCTCTGTGGCAAATACAGGGCAGCCAACGTCTCCCTCTGCCCACTCCTGCATCCTTCCAGAAACCTCCTGAAGTAAGTCTCTACCTCACAGGCTATTTCCAGAGCACCCACCTATGACAGTTCTTAACACCGTCCCCAGCGTGCCTGCAGAGTGGATTCATGTCACACACACACATATGCACACACCACCCTTGCCGGGGCCACCGACGACCTCTACACATCTGACCAGTCTTTCCCCTTCAGACGGAAGCCCCTGCATTGCCCTTGCCCGTGAACTCAAAAAACTGAGAGCCTCCCCACCTCTCTGTGCCTCTATTTGCTCATCTATAAGATGAGAATAGAAATAGAACCGCCCCATTAGGCTGTTGGATGATTACATTGAGGAACAAGATGCGCTTTGAACAGTGCCCCATAGGTAAGCTGATCTACATCCCGTTTGCCTGAAGTCCCAGCTTTTCCTATTGTCTCCACCACCCCCCTCAAAAATGTAATGGCATTCATCTTCAGTGTCATGTGTGTCCTGGTCTGAGTGATAGATTACAGTTGTCCTAGCCAGAAGGAGTAAGTGCTTGATAAGCATCAGCTGTAATTTCTACCGGAGGGGCAATGGGTGGAGTTCTCCTTACTCATTAGTACACACATGTATAAGGAGCCCACTCTCACTCATAAGTACACACGTCTGGACTCTCCCCAACATACCAACACACACCCTCACTCCTGCCCAGCTCCTTGGTGCCCCAACAACATTCTCCTATGCTCTGAGGAGCAAGCAGCGCGGGCACCGCCCGATCAGGAGGGGTGGCCAGGACAGGACCCAGAGACAAGTGCTTGCTCACTGAGGGCCCAGGTGGTCCGGTCCTGCTCCCAGCCCGGAGGGCCGGTGCTACCCGGGGGCCCAGGGGTGGGCAGAAGAGCTGGAGGGAGCTTGTCAGTTGGCATGGTGACCCTTCCCACCTCACCACCTCATACCTGCTGTTCTCAAATACAGTCACCAGATTGGACACAGATGCCAGCTTCTCCTCACTCGCCCCCTCCATCATACAGGCGCCCAGGGTCCCCCGAGGCAGGGAGAGAGGCCTCCAGTCAGCACACTCAGCCACCCCCGCCGGGCTCTCAGGCGGGCTCAGACATCAGGAACCTGCTGCGTTCTTTCCGAGGGCGCAGCGGGCCTGCTCCTGGCATCGGAGTGAAGAAGGAGGAAGTGGTCCCAGAGCCACAGCCCCGACAGAGAAAGGCCGGTGCTCCCTGCAGGGGGAGGAGCGTGCTGGCCCCACCCCTCCCGGGGCTGGCCTCACTCCTGCAGACCCCATCACCTCCAGAAGCCACCCGACCGACCACCGACCGGGACAGTGGCCCACAGGTAGTATCTAGAGCTGGGCCCTGGACTGGACTCTCCCAGGTTCTCTCTCACACTTTCTCTCTCCCAGGTTCAATGGATTTACTTGATCCTCTCTCAACAACTTCTTTTCTGCATCTGATTTTGTTCACTGCTATAAAAAAATAGCTTTTAAAAAAAATTAAAAATAAATCACAAGCCTGTTGAGGGTTGGCAGGGAGGGGTACGTGGTGTTCTCACCTCCCCCCTGGGGCTTTCTTATTTTAACAGCTGATGTCTCCACCTCGTTGACCCAGGGGAGGGTGGCTTCCTCCCTGAAACTCTGATGATAATAATAGCTTACACACACTCTTTTTAGTGTTTTACAAGTATTTTCTCATTTAATCCCTTAACAGCTTATGAAGTGGGTCCTATTTTACAGAATAAAAAAGTGAGGATCAGAGAGGTTAAGTAACTTGCCCAATGTCACCCAGTAGAAGTCGTTTCCAAAGCAAAGGTGGATGTCCTACAGTTCTCTCGAAGATTAGGCCGGGAGCCTGGATGAGCACGTTCTCTCTCAGGCTTCCCTGCTCCGAGCACGCCCAGTCTCTGCCTGACGTCTCCTCCCGCCCCTGGTCTCCCAGCCCTTCCAGAACAAATAGCCACTGCCTCTGCTCCCTTATGCAAACCTCCCAGGCCCTCAGGGCCCTCCCACTGGGTCTGGTCTCTCTTGTCTTGAGCCAGGCCCTCCGTTGAGACTGGCCTTTGTCCTGCAATCTAGGGACGTGGTGCCCGGAGTGCCTGGTGCAGCTTCAGGCCCTGGTGCCTGTGACCCCCGGGCCTCCCACGCCAGCAGCCTCACTCTCAGAGCAAGTCTGCCAGCAGGTGCCTGGCTCCTCCCCCAACCCTAAATTTCACTAACTCTCCTAGCTTTTTGGTTGTACATAATAAAATGTACCCCATGAACCTATAACCCAGACCCAGCACCCATCAACTCCCGGCCTGTCCTGCTCCATAGGCAGACACAGTCCCTCCCCCTTCCACAGCATCTGGAGCAAATCCCAGACAACAGATGATTTCACCCATAAATGTTTCCTGTGTACCTGAGAGAGAAGGACACACACACACACACACACAATGCTGATGTATTCTATACATGCGCACACACATATGTTTATACATCTGTGTATAAACAGTTGGCCCTGGAACAATGTGGCTTTGAACGGCACTGGTCCACTTATACACAGATCAAACCTGCTTTGTTCAAGGATCAGCTGTATTTCCACTGTGGGTGCAGAGGGCCAGCTTAAGTTACATTCGGGTCCTTGACGGTGTGGGAGGTCGGCACTCCCACCCCGCATTACCCAAGGGTCAACTGTACAGTTGTATGTGTAGACAGGGAACAACAGCACCATATCACACCTGGGAGGTGTTTGCAATCGTTCCTCAGTGTAACCAAATGCCAGTCAGCATTCAAGGAGCCAGTTCCTTGTAAGTGTCATCTGCTATGGACTGAATGGTGTCCCCCAAATGCACATATTTAAGTCCTAGCTCCCAATGTGACTGTATTTGGAAATAGAGCCTTTGGGAGGTAATTCAAGTTAAATGAGGTCATAAGAGTAGGGTTCACATCTGATAGGACTGGTGGCCTTGTAAGAAGAGGGCGTGATCTCTGTCTCTCCACCCCCCACCCCCACATGGCTCCGAGGAAAGGCCCTGGACCAGCAGGAAGAGACCCTTCCCTAGGAGCAGGACCCTGACAGCCTGGATCTGGGACATCATGCTCCAGAACTGTGTCAGGTAAGTTCTGTTGCCTTAAGCTTCCCTGCCTGCGGTACTGTTTCATGGCAACCTCAGCAGAGTAACTCAGGCCCACATGTTGCAATGACCGTCCCATCTGTTAGCTCTTCTGTCAATCACAGGCTCTCCTCACCTGTTCCCCTTTCCTGACAGTGCAGCTGAGAGGACATGCTGGCCCTCCAGGGTCCTCGTCAGGATGATGACAGTGCCGGTCCCTGGATTTCCTGTTTGTGATGGTTAGAGCCAGGGCCTTGACCAGATTCACACGTAAACGCCATCTCTCCCTGGACGCCCTCCCAGGTCTTGGGGAGGCCTCCTTCCTCCATGCTCCTCTTCCCTGGACCACAGTGCCCGGTCCCCTCTTCCGCCTCCACCAGACTGCTCACTGGCTCCCTGCAGGCAGGACCAGAGCACCTGCGACTCCTCGCTGGTCCTCAGCCCAGCCCAGTGTCCCGCATACAGCGGGGCCTCAGAAGGCATTTGGTTTTTGTTTTTTGGTTTTTTTTTTATCCTCACCCGAGGACATTTTTCGATATTTTGTTCAGATAGAGTGAGAGGGAGAGAGAGAGAGAGAAACATCGACGTGAAAGCGACACATCGAGTGGTTGCCACCCACATGACCCAACCAGGGCCGGGGACAAACTGCAACCAAGGTACGTGCCCTTAGCGGGAACCGAACCTGGGTCTCTCCGGACCGCAGGCCAACGCTCTAACCGCTGAGCCAAACCGGCCAGGGCTCAGAAGGCATTTGGAATGGACAGTGTCACACCTTGAGCCCGGAAGCTCATGGCATACCTAGCACCCAGTGCCCGCGCTTCCGCAGGAGAGTCTGCGCCGGCGCCGCGGGATCTGCCCCTCACAACTCTGCCGGCCTTTTCCCCTGATCTGTGTCTCGCCTGCGGGCATCACTCAGGCTCAGCCCCGCCTCTGGTCTCCTCCTCCACGCACCCCTGCTCCACCCAGTTCAGACTCTGTCCCAGGGTCCCTGTCCTGCCCGATACCTTCAGGACATCGCCAGGGACATGTCCCACCTTCGCTTCCAACTCAACGCGCAGTCTCAAACCAGCTTGTGATCCCGTGGAAGTATTCCCAAGTTCCCAGTCCGGCTCCGGTCAGCCCTCCCAGCCCCTGCTCCCTCACCCCTCACCCCGGTCTGGGTTGTGATCTTAAGGGTGGCTCTGTGCTATGTCAGCTGAGCTAAGCTGAACCACAATTCCAGACTCCCAGAAAGTTGGCTGTGGTCCCAGGAGGGGGCGCAGCTGTGCAGTGGCTCCTGGGGCGGGGGGGCGTACTGCTGCCCCTCACACAGGTGGACGCAGGCCTCTGGGCTTTCCCCCGACCTCCTCTTTAGCTTCTCTAGCTCCTGGGCTAGGTGTGTGTTTAGCTCCAGGGCAAGGGGTGCACCTTCTTCTGCAGGTCACCTGTGTCATTGAAGCTGGTGGCTTGGAGGTGGCTTCCTGTTCATCCTCCAGAGCCCCAGCTCTTCCTCACTGGTTCAATTCATTCCTGCTCCCCTGAATTCACATCCATCTTTCCCACCCCGTTACCTGCCCTGACGATTGTAGACGCAGAAGCAGCAATTCTTTAAGTAGCCTCCTCACTGAATAGTCAAATCCCACATCTGTCTCCCTCTGGTCGTTCTGTTCTCATGAAATCTGACTTCTATGCCTTGGACCAGTAACTGAACTGAATTTGCCTCATCTGTTAAATGGGGATAATTTATAGTGCCAACCTCCTGTGGTGTTGTAATGGTAAAATGCGGTAATGACATGTGTAAGGGCTTAGAGTAAGGCCTGGTACAGAGTACTCAGTGAATGTTGGTGACAGACATCCCTATTCCTGACAGAAGGCCTTTCCTGTGCCGCCACACCCTGCTTTGATCAATCAGTTTAAACCTGCCAACAGCCTGTTCACTTCCTCCAGGAAGCCTTCCTTGATATCCACCACTGGAAATTCCTTTCTTTCTCAGAGACCTGGTGTTCTTCTTTGCTTACTTTCATCTTGTCATTCATTAAGTCATAAATTCAGTTGATAAGTATTCTTGAACACCTACTATGTGTCAGCACTATTATAGAGGTTATGGATTAATCACAGTCCCCCGCCCCTTAGGTCACAATGTAATGAGGAAGAGGAGCCTGTTAACCACTAAAATATGACACGGGGAATGCTTTGAACAGGGAGTTATGAACACCCAGAGAAGGGGCATCAACGTCTCCAGAGAATGGAGGGTGCTATTTATTAAGGAGGGCTTTCTAGCAAAATAACCTGAAGGCTGAGTTAACGCTGCAGGTGGACAAGGTAAGAGAAGGCATGCAAAGCAGTAGGAATGGCATGTGCACACGAGTGTGGGCTTGAGACCAGGGCAAGACCAGGAAGAAGAGCAGGGAGTCCAGTACATTGGAGTGTCAAGGGGCTGGGGAATGGCAGGGCATGGGCTGACGGGACCCCAGGAGCCTGGCAGGCTTTGTCCGCTGAATTGAGGTGTTTGCCAGCTGAGGGAAGTGGGGACAGAAATTTAAGCCGAGGAGCCCCTGATTCAATGTGTGCGCACACATCTCCCTCTGGGTAGGGCAACGTCTCCATTCCAGGGCCATGCGGGCCCTTGGGGTGAATAAGTCTCAGTGCTTTCTCTCCTCTTCTCTGCTTTCAAGCCCTAAGGAGAATCGAAGAGTTCACTTCCCTGCAGCTCAGTTTACCAGAAGTGGGAAAAACGAATACAGAGTGGGGGACCGGGGTAGAAGGAGGAAGGGGTGGGGGAGGGAGGGAGGCACAAGCACTAAGCAGCTAGCTGGGCAGTCACGTGGCTGGCTGGCTGGGGAGAAGGCTGTGCCCTGGGATGTGAAGAGGGCTTTGTGTGTGGACTGGGGGCACCCAAAAGGCCTCTCACCAACAGCCTTGGGCAGCAGTGGGCATTTGGGGGCTACCAGGGAGAAAGTGCGAGTGTGTGGTGTATGTGTGTGATAGGTGTGTGTTATGTGTTGTGTGTACATGTGTGGTATGTACATGATGTGTGTGTATGGTGTGTGCTGTGTATGTGTGTGGCATGTGTATATGTGTGATGTGTGCCGTATGTGTGTGCATGTCATATGCATGGTACGTTGTGGAGGGCGGCTGAGCCAAGGTCTCTTGTTCCTGTAGTGTTTGCACAGACTCACCCAGGAGCCTTTAGTCCCAAGGCCACTTGTTCCTGCTGCTGGACGGCCCACGCAGG